GATCAGGGAGACTGCGTCAATTCTGAATGGTGTTTATGATAGTAACTAAAAAACGCGCTAACCAGCAAGCATGGAAGGTCACTTTGCTTCAATTTGATTGGTGTATTCGTGACCTGTTGCCACCTGCTGTTTAATTGTTTACTGGCTTTAGGCTGGATTAAGAAGTTAGTCGACATAATTTTACTCGACGGGCTTAGTCGAGTTGTGGCCTTCATCTCGCCATACTTGAGCGGTCATACTCAAACTTATGGCGAGATCTTCTAGCTCATCCACTAAAATTATCTCGCCATAGTTGGATATGAACGGGGCTATTGTGTCATCACCATTTATCTGTTTGTCAGTTGATTCCAATTAATTATAATTCATAATCTTGAGTTATATTTACAAGAAATAAATGTTTGCCTATTAGATGTTTTTTAGTTAAAACTCACACTGGAACAATAGAATTTGAATTGCCTTGTAGGAAAGGATAGTTTGAATGCAACCATATAGCAGGGAGGAGTATGTGGGTGGAGGACTTCCAAACTGGACATGAAAGGGCCACGATACCACACTCTCTGATTACATATAACAACTGATAAACAGTTATCAGAATAGAACTTGTTTATGCGTACTCACTAGAGTAATGTTTACGTATGCATTTGCTCATGAACATGTTTGGCCACGATGGAATGCATGTATGGCTATGACACCCAACTAAATCCTAATTTTTAAAAATGAAGTTTTATAGCCCAATAAACTAAACCTTTTAAATTTAGGCTTAAACTCAATTTTTCACTCTCCTTGCTAAGTTTTGTCTCAAAAGAGTTGTTAGGTATTAATTGACTGTGTATTTGTTAAAATGAAAAAGAATACAAACAAAACCGTTTGGTCACAGGAACATGTTCCTCCACTGTCTGGTCTACTGTGCCCCTTGATTCATCTTTAGATCATAGTAGGGTAAAATACTATATATTTTTATTGCCATAATAGTTGCTTTTTTTTTACATTGTTTGTATTTATATGATGTTGTTACGCTATTAGTTCTATATAAATATCAATTATTATTATAATAGGATAAATATGCTTCTTTCCACTATATGATTTATATAAAATATTCAAAATGAGTCATTTCGCACATTGATTCATTCATGCTTAACATAACAATATTTCTACATAAATGATACAATATTAATGATTGAATAAAATCAAGATTGATTGAAGTCACTAATGAGGAGGTTTAATAATGCAGTAAAATTAGTACATCAGTCAGATTGTGCATAAATTTATTCCTTGTAGAAGATATTGGATAAAGTTGAATTATGATGAGCTACGCTTTTTCTTATAGAGTACTACAGTGTTACGTCACGATACCACGTGATACTACTCCATTGCTATCGGGACACAAAATGCGTTTAACCCGATGCCAATTTCTCCACTGACAAACCATTGATCCCAATTTCTAACGTAATTATTAAGAAGTTGTATCTTAATTTTTCTTTGTAAATGTTAATTGATTATTAAATGTTTGGACGATAACTAATATAATGCGAGATTTTTGTGTTTTCTATTCAAATTAGTTTAAATATGCAAATTAAGGATAGAAATATTTTTCTTGTAAATTTTATCTATGGCTACAACAGTTTGAAATTACAAAGTTTAGTAAGCATTATCACAGCTGCCTTTAAAATCTACATTAAGTTTTATGTGACTTATGATAGGTTATGTAAACATGTAGAGTAATTTATTAGATAGAAAATTAGAAACTAATCAAATAGCATCTGTTACAATTAACTGGTTGTCATAACACTAGTTTAATTTTTTCACTGAAATTGCAATTTTTGGATCAAGTGAAAATTACTATAATCTTCTGTGAAGATATTTCTATCTTTGCAAACATTTTACTGTGTTCATTATGTATATAGCTATATGAGATATTTGTTTGGTTTTGAAGTAGGCTGCATTGCAGCCTAAATAATTGGTTCTGATGCTTTAAAATAGATTCTAGACCTAGTAAAATAACAGGAAAAAATTAATCACTGTCTTAGTGTTTAAGCCTACCAGATAACCACTTATGCCTTGCCCAGGGAAATAAGGAAAATTTACAGTGAAGGTTCAAAACGTCATGGTTGAGAGTCTGAATCGCAACCTCTGCTGCAACAGCTCCCATTTGCGGTTGAGATGAAAGGCATGTTAAAATACATGATATATATAGTTAAAATATAATACAGGGCACATATCCCTCTCAACCCAGGTGATATATAATCATGAACGCTGGATGATACCAGTGAGAATGAAAACAAAAAATGAAAATCCCAGGATAAATGAAGTTTTATGATTCTGTATTTAGCAAGATAATCTATTGTACTTAATTTCTCCTACAAAATTTTAAGCTTTTTCTTAGATGACCTTTTGAAAACAACTCACACCTGTTCGACAACTCATTAAGGGCCAGTTGGATTTGTTTTGATATATATACTGTTATCTATTGATTAGGAAAGGGTACTATACTGTATTTAAAGTTCGTTATTTTTAACCTAGGCACAATAAAGTACCCAGGTAAACTATAGACTTCTTGTAGTGGGGAGGTGGAAAAGTCTGGTTTATACGCCTGGCCATATTGCATTCGCCCACTATGAACCTGGAGTAGAATGGGTATTTTCAAGTTTGTCAATTTTCAACCAGGCCGAAACACTTGAGTCTTTGAGCATTAATTTTTTCAATTTCAATTCAAAATCCAAAATACGATCAAAAATTATTTTCAGAATAGATTTTGATAGCACAAAAAACAGGCACTTGACTGGTATGCCTTTTAGAGACCATATTTAGCATTTGTGATGACTAATTAGCATATTTTTGGTAACAGCAGAACAAAAATTGCTTAAGCACTTTCATGAAAAAACTTTCGTGCAATCAATCACTGCCTATCAAGGTCAGCCGTAATGTGCTGTCAGCCACTGCCGGATCACAGTAACTAAAGTATGTGTGCATATCTCCAATGACAACACCCGTTGAGTAGCCTTATACTTTTAATAAACTACAGGTTTTGTGTAGACAACACCCCAAAAATACACACACCCCACCTATTAGGACCCTCACCTTGTTGGGGCCCTCCCCCAAATCACACTCAAATTTTGTGAACTACTTCCCCGGTCGTATTTTGGATTTTTGAGTACCGGTAGTCTCTTACTCTTACTCTGGACCTATAAGTCCATGCTCTTACCATGGCTGCAACTGTACTGCGCTAGCAGAAAGGCATGGCCAGTGGCCAAACTTGACATTGGTGATTTATGCCCTGAGAACCCATTCCAAAACAATGCTATCACTGCGTATTCCTAAAATAAATAGTGGCTTGTTGACATAGTTTGATAATTCTTTTTGTTCTATTCTATTAATCAAATAAAATAAAATTAATCAGATAAAATGTCTAATATAATATAATATATATATAATTATAAGATTATTTTTTTATAATTAATAAGATAATAAATTAAGATAATAATATGCATACCTTAAGGAAATAAATATATCAATAATAATCTACAATAATACACACGTATGGTGAACCCATGAATTTGCTGACATGGGGCCAACTTGTTCCAACAGAACGTACGAATCAAGAGGCCAACTAGAGCCTTGTTCAGGGTCCCGGCATAAAATTCTCTGGAAGGGTTGACTGTTTTTTTTTTTTAGGAATTTTTAGTTTTAGCCATAATATTAGGGATTGGCAATCTTTGTTTAAACCATTAACATTAGATTTAAGGCAGAGGAGTCAACGGACATCAGCACATCTTCTAGAATAGTAGACTTGAAATCAGTGCCCAAGATTCAAACACAAAAATCACTGATAGTATGGCTCGGTGAATTCAAGTAGTGAGCAATAAGGAAGCCCTTTTGATGGTCTCTAATTTTTTGTGGTTAAAAGTCTGTTGTGACAATCGGTTTTGCCTACAAAATTGTTACTACACTTAGTTCAAAATAGTAGTGTGCTGACAGTGACGACAAAATTCGGCAAACTGGGTTCGGCAAACAGGTTTCGGCCAACTAGGATTTCATGTTTTCGGTGAACTGGATTCGGCAATGTGGTCTAAATTTGGCAAACCGGGTTTCTGCAAACTGGATTTCGACCAAATGGTCGAATACCTAATACTCATCCTTAACACAAATTCACAATGCTTATATATTTTTTAGAATTCTAACATTTCAAAATTTTATATTCGGGAAAATTGTACTGCGGGGAGACTATTCTTTTACTGTGTAGCGTAGTCTCCCCGCGGTACAATATTGCCTTGATTTCAATCAACATTGCACCTATCTAAGTGGGACTTGCCATGCCAAAGCCAGATCAGTGACCAAAACAATAAAATTGATGTTTTTAAATATTCATATTCTCCCTATATACAGTATAAGCTTTAAAATTATAGGCTATTAATACAGGAATCAACTTACGGTATTGTTGCCAAAGTTATAAGTAAAAGTATATTACAACTTCTCGATATGCCCTATTGAAGTATGCAATACTGCCCTATTATTATGCTAATTAGTCAGTTTAACATTTTTAGAACATTTTTTTAATGAAATCCTATTCCTTTTTCCTATTTTTGGATCACAGGTTGAACTGGAAGAAGCTAAAACGATAACAGACAAAGAAAACTCTAAGATTCTAAATTTGGAGGATGACTTGTTCCTTGGTGGTGTGGATAACCGTGAAAATGCAAGGCCATTACCAATGGAAGTATTTTCCATAACTAGACAACCAGGTTATGTCGGCTGCATGCGTAACCTAGTACTTAACGGACTATCGTACAACATTGCTGGAGAGGTCCAACAGCAAAACGTCAAAGGCATTATGATTATGTGTAAAAGCATGTCTCCAATGTGCAAAGAGGGGCTGTGTCGGAATGGGGGACAATGTTCGGAGGGTTGGAACCGATTCATATGTGATTGCTCAATGACTGACTACATTGGAAAGGAATGTGATTATAGTAAGTGGTTTCATTTATCTCACTTGATGTCATGATTTTTTGCATGTGTTTGCTATTGGGAAAATAATGTGTGGTTTTCCTTTTAAACCTTTACCTCATTTGCCTATTTTGATTGTTTTTTTTTTAATCAATGAAATGTGCTTAATAAAATAAAATATGTTGAAGCTCATTTAATTGGGACCCCTGCTATCCTCTGAATGGTGTGTATTTTCGGAACATTATTTTCATGAAATTTTATTCCTTTCTTTTTTTGTTGTAATATACATTGTCCATCAAATATTCAACAAAGCCTATTACAACATTGACCCATGCATTCATTCATAATGTAATTATATAATTATTGTTATGTTGTTTTTTTTTTTTTGTTTTTTTTTTATTGTTTTTATTGATATTACAATTATACAACATTCAGTTGGTATGACCAAATTATTAAATTATCTGGCCATTTCACAGTGAATATATTTTTGCTATACATAATTCTTGACCTGTTCAAAGCACAAACCAGTACCATTACGTTTTTTAATCTTGCGGGAAATCTACTCATGATTTATCAATAGTTTACATGGTAAGGAATTAAACTTAAGTGCAAGGCTTTTAGTCAAACTATGTCTGTCTTACTTAAGGTGTGAGATGGATAAAACAAACAACAATGCAATCTTACAAAAAAAGAAACGAGAAGATACTGAAGGTGATAGGAATTGATGTATAAGGACATGAACAGATTAATAATGGACTTTACTAATTGTGTAAAGTATAATAATATAAAATTAATAATATTATTAGTAATATGACTATACTAACAACAAAAATAAGCACAGTTATAATAAATTATTATAAAATGTTTATAATAAATCTTGATCTCAACCCATACACAGTCTCATTTAAATCTCTTTTCAATATCTTAAAATTGTATTGACACGTCAAATGAAGCATGGAGTCCAAAAGACAGTTTCTGATTGCCAATGATTTTATCTTCGTTCAGTCCTAATATATGTTTCTTGCTTTTTTATGTGTCAAGTTTTTTTTCTTTTTTGTTTTGTTTTATTACTTATTGTTATATCATAAAATGGCCAATTATTGACTATTTCTTGAATCTTATTCAGACTTGTATTAAATGTTTGTGCATGCTTTTGTTTTTTTATTGTATTTGATTTTTCTCTGCTATTTTCAATCAACTTTTGCATAGTAGATAGCTCATTCAGTAGGTAATATGGCTATGTTTTTTCATCATTTAAAACCATGGTTTTGGATTGAACAAGTGAAAATAGATATTTTGTTTGCATATCATATCAAATGCAAATAAAAATAACTTTTAATAGGAATTTTTTTTAAACAAAATAATTTCTTAATATAGATCCAATATACTTCTCAATAACATGAAACTGTTGTATATTATTTAACTCATTACTCCTAGCTTGCTAGCATAATTTTGTTATTGCTATAATGTAATAACTTTCCTAATAACTTTGATTTGCTATTTCTAGAAGACCTATTTATGCAAAAAAAATGTATTTATAAAACTCAAAGGAGAAAGTTTCATTGACAACTGTAATGATTTTAAGTCAAAGATAAGTCCAATTTATTGGATATCAGGAATAACTTTTGCGGCAGTTTTTAAGAACACTTGTCTAATGATTTTTTATCCCTTCCAATGGTTTTCTCTGTCCTTGAGTATTAAATATAAGAAAATAATATCTGTATCATCTTACTGTTCCTTATATCTCTTTCTCATGTAACCAGCTCTTGTTCAATCAAAAGTTTCATGGTTTAAAATGATTATTTGAAATTTATAACACCGTTTTAATGTTACCATTTCATTACTGATCATTATTTTTCGGCTTCATCATAGTTTCCATAGAGAAGCAATTGAATGGCACTTTAATTTTGATGTTATACAAACATTTTGCTGAAGGAATACCTTTAGTATTCAAAATTATATTTTTTTAATAAACAGTGAAACTCTGAGGATTTTCTGTTCTATACACTATTTTCGCTAAATTTGAAATGACAATTTCAGAGGCAACTACCACTTAGGGGACATCCAAAGGCCTAGGCATTTCGCTCTACATAGTTATCTGTGTTTATCTGTGCTCAGTGATTGGTGCGAGACTTTCTTGTTGTAGTGAGTTAGCCTAGGCTATTCTTTGAAAACAAAATGCCAAAAAAAAATTAGCCTAGGCTATTTTTTGAAAACAAAATGCCAAAAAAAAATAGAGGCACAAAACCTGCAGTGTTTTGGTTATTGAAGTGCTCAAAAGAAGATATGTCTGAAAAGCGAAATTGGCTCAGGCTAGGCTGCTGGATGTTGGTGGCGCTGTTTAAAAATATACTAGATAAAATGGTGTATAGGCAATAGTTTCCATTCGTCATAGTTTTACTATTTTTTGGTTGAGGTGAAATTTCATCGAACAAAGTATAATTTTTTGTAAAATTTTAGACTATAGTCTATATAGAGCCATTGAATTGCTTAAGTTGTGTTGCTTTTATCTTCATCTGCTTCAACCCTTTGCTATCATATTTTCTGCCATTTTATGGTTTCATCTCATAAAGGGCATACATGGGCAACAGGTAGGTTACTTATAACAGTCTCACCATTGTATGTACAAATACACTAACGCCATCAATTAAATGTTCTTATATATAAGTATACTAACTTGTTTACTTTCTGTTAATCTGTAAAGCAAATAGAAGTGCCTTAGCATATGTGGTGTGTGAAGTTGAACATTATTTTCTATTATTAACTAATGATCATGTTTTTTTTTAAAGCGAATGAAAATAAGGAAATAATGTACTTAATCCATATGCAAATTATGAATTTGCATATTACTATATACCTATATATTGCTAGTATATCAACATTAGTCAATGGCAGATCTGTAAACTCTTGTACTTAAAGTCGCTAATAAAATAATTATACAACAGTGATGTATTTGTTTAGGTATGCTTTAAACTATCTCAAATAAATTATATAGGAACTAATATTATCAGTGTCTGTAAGTGGGTGCTAAAACAAAATAACAAACCAACTGCATGCCAGAGTCACTCTAATTCTTTCGTGCTAAGTGTATAAAAAAAAAATTCACACAGTAGGTTCAAGTATGTATTTGCACGGAAATAACAAACATGTCTCGTGTACTGATGTAAGCACAGAATATAGGTGAAGTTTTTGTTGTCACAAGCTAATAATGGATAAAAAAAAATTCAGTTTGTTAAGTTCATTATTTAGAATAGAGATATATACCTACGTACATTACCAATTTATAAGCTGATATCAAAACAAAATTCAGTTGAGTAGAAAAAATGTAATTTATAAATTAAAGTAATAGTGCTTATTTTTCAAGCAGAGATCCTTGTGATAATGTTTCTGACTATAACAAAGCATGTCCCTTACTATGTTTGTTGGAAGTCTATTCCATCAGTCTGATAAGACATTGTTAAGTCTTAGACAGACAAAAATCTGATTGTAGTATTATAGGCTTTCAAAGCTGAAATATTTGTGTATTTTAAAATAAATTAAAATAGTGAGATTTTGGGTGATATATATATATATGCTCTGCCCCTCTGTAGTGAAAGTAAGTTCTCCAGGTCTGAAGAGCTAATTTAATGCATAAATAGCAGCTTGCATCTGGACTGCTGTGACAATCTTTGTAGTATTTCAGAATAACTAGAAGATTGCCAAATTGCAGCAGTTTTAAAACACTGCATGAGTGCTCTGTGCTCTTTCTGACTATAAAGTGACAAAAGTGGTTTTGCTCTGCTGGTTTCCAGTGTGTAAGCAAAATCTCATATAAAAATCTTAACTTGAAAGGTGTTAGATGACCTAATTCCATAATACTCACTTGTTAATGTTGGGTGATAAACCGAATACAGTATACATTTTATATGGTAGAATATCTGCATTCTGGAACAAACTGCCAACCTATGTAAAATGCACTATCAGTTGATGTTTTAAGCTGGGCAATTCTATGAAGAATGCAACGCGATGACGCGTGCAATAAATTGTTTTTAATGACGATCCGTCCAGACGACCACCCACAATCATCAGATGAAGTCGTATAGTGTAGTGCTTAAAGGGAGCGGAATTGGATTCAATGTGCGACAGTCAAACGACGCAGTTAATGCCAGGTTTTAAGTTTGTGACTAAAACCTCGGCGGGTTCTAGACTCAGAAATATTAGGTTTGTGTCTGGCGGGGGATAGTTAATATACTTGTTGACCTTCTGATTCTGATTACAAAGAATTTCATGAGCCACAAAACCATGACTGACAAATACTGGAATTTTATCCAGTCTTGGGCCGGGTGGGCCTAGTCCCACCCAACAAAATTTGCGAGTTTGCCAACCTTCCTGTAGGCCCTGGCAATAATTTTCCATATGTTAGAATATCGATTTTGACCAAACAACAGGCTAAATTTCTGGCGAGGCATCACCAGTTGGCTGTTGTGTATCTCATTGTAGTTGGCGATCTTAGTTGGAAGGTATTATACTGTAGGAGATTAATTATAAAAAGTCTCAGAACATTTTAAATAAATTAAAAAAAAAAGGTTTTCCAAAGGCTTTGGCCCTTGGACCCTGATTGGAATACCTCATTCCCCTCGCAAGCATTTATATTCCAGCTCTAATTTGTTAAACTTAACAATGCTGTATTTTTTCATCCTGCATTTTCAAACAGTACCATCATGCAACATGGTGGGTTGTTTATCACCAATCGTAAGCAGGGGCGGATTTAGGGGGTGGCCGGCCCGGCCCCGGCCCACCCTTTTGGGAGGTAAAAAAAAGAAAAAAGAAAGAAAAAAAGGAAGGAAAAGAAAAAAATGATAGCCCAGAACGCCTCAAATGTTATTTTCAGGCGTCTAGAACACCAAAATTTCGCGGGGGCATGCCCCCGGACCCCCTAGGGCATTGTTGTTTCGATCGGCCCCCTTTCGGCCCCCCTTTTGGACATCTCTGGATCCGCCCCTGGTAAGTAACTCATTCCAGTATCTAAGAAGAAGTAGAGTTAAGAATTATTCAACTAAGTGTTTTTGACTATCTCCAAATGAGTGATATGGGAGCAACACCAAGTTAAGGCTTGTCAGAAGTGAACCTGCTACAGTTAAGACATGGGATCAATCATCTGCAAAAATGCTAAGATCTTAATAGCAATTAGGATCATTCTTAGGTTAGCCGTACCCTGTCGTAAACTATTATTTAAGAATTACACGCATTTTAGTGCTCTGTATGAGCTGCATATGAATTATCTTATCTCCATTAACATATGATTGCTGAGCTTACTGTAGTTATCATATTTTGATCTAACTTTGTTAGAAATATCATTGAAATACCTACTATTAGTATTATTTATAATATTGTTAGAATATATTTAGTTTTAACTCTACAGTAGTTATATAGCTCGTTTACAGAGTTTGTAACTATTCAAAATTCTTTTAATATCTTAACCAACATAATTATCCTATATCAATTGTTAATTACTACTTTATGATTATATAACAATCTATGTGTTACTAAAATGTTCATGCTTAAGCAACCATTATTTTATTATTAGAACTGTAATTAAATATTAAATTATCATTATAATAACTACACTTAATATTTTTCTTCACTATTTATATGTGGCAGGTCAAAATACCTTTCATTTTTTAACCACCACAAAATATAGGCTACAAAAATTGTTAATAACTTTTTAGAATTCCAATAGTGAAAAATAAATCACAAATGGACTGTTATTGGATTTTCAGAAAATGCTTTACAGAAGCAACAAGAGCTTACACAAAAGTTGAATCCTGCAGTAAAATGTGTTCATTAAGACGGGTTATAGAATGATTATAGTTGATTGGCTAATTGTTAATAATATGTTTTACTGAAAATGGTCATGTTAAAGATTATAATTCGTTACAAGTGTTAATAGTAACACTAATGCCATATATGTATTGAATAAGTATAGTTCTTTGAAAAAAATCATACTGAAGCAATCAAAACTAACGTAGATGAGGAGGTTACTTAGCCAACACATATGTTCCAGAGAAATTGGAAAGCAACATTCAGACAAGAAAAGTGAGAATTTATTTGGTTTATTGAAGAATACAGTATTGTATGTTGTCTCGTCTCTATCGTAATAGAGGCGACAACATAGAACATTTGATATTTTTATGCTTCTGCAAGTATGTAAGAAACCATAACTGAATAATTGGAAAACGAATTATGATAACAAAGTAATGGAAAAAAATGGAGGCGATAAAGCTAGATTCTTTCAAATAATATGTATTTTTGGCTCCAGGCTGTACTTTAAGAATGAAATACATCGGTTTCATGATGGCAAAATCTGTTACAAATCACTTTTTTAGACTAATTGCTACATACAAGTTTGCATGGCAGTTTTCACTACTTGGAACTACAAAACAAAATTCAATTACATAGTAAGTTCAAAGTTCATGAATCAATAATGACTATCCTCCTTACCATGGCGCCATTTGGCATATTTGGTAATGCAGTTTGTTTCACACCCTTAGATTGTTCTGAGAATTTGTTTATTGATTAAGACATCTGTTTATTTCTCCTTCTGTCACTTATTGTATAGCTGTCATTAATAATTAGATTTAGCTGATTAGAAATAATTGTAAACTAATCACCGTCTCTAACAGTCAAATGGCTATCCCTTTTTCTACTACTGTACTATGGTGATTTTTTTTTTTTTTATTTAGTTTTAGAATTATAAATTGAAATTGAATTAAATTTTCCTTGAAATTGAAAATTTTGGCAGTGCGATTACTGACAAATAATGGATACTTGTCTCTTACCGACTAACTCTCAAGCGAGGGTTATTCGAGGGAAGGATCAATCCAACTCCAATTAAAACCTGATGCTAGGCAGGTTTGAACTGGAGTGTTCAGCACAAGAAACATGGATATTAACTCTCGGTCAAACGTCAGCTTCATTAAAAAATAATTTTGTCACTGCAATTCCTTTTTGAACTTTTTTGCTAAACCATAAAAGAAGTTATTAGTTTATCATCTTATCTAGGCTAAAATTGTGATGTGGGAGGGTAGCTTATTATAATTCATTTTTGCTAAAGCCAAATTTTAACCTTAGGTTGCTTTCTGGTGCATTGATGTTCAAAGTAAAATACATGATTGAGATCATACGCAAAATCTACTACATATTTACTAAAAGAAAAAAAATAAATATTTCAAATAATATTTATTTATTCGACATCACTGTATTTTCGCAATTGGGAATTTTTTTTACAAAAATTACATTTCAATTTCAAGTATGTTATAAAAGAATCCAAAACTATATTTATTTTATTAAATATATTTCATCTGTTTAATAGAATAAAATGTTCTTTTAGATATTATGTACAATTTCTGTTATCATTTTGGGTTTTAATGGGTTTTTTTCAATTATTTTACAGCATTTTCTATATGCAATTTAGAAATTTTAGAATAAATTTAATAAAATCTTCAAATCCAGGGCATAATTTTGTACTTGAACAGAGACATGTACTTATAATTTATTGTTAATATGCCATAATTTCATTAGATTTTCAAATCTCTTCTATTATAAGCTTTAAAATGATAGGTCATTCACTAGAATTGACTTACTTTGCCAAGGTTTTATGATTAAAAGCAAGATTCAAAACTCTAATTTGTATCAAATATCATCCATTTAGGCACTTCGCAGATAGACGTAAATTGCCAGGTATACAGAAGCTAATTGTACTACTTCTGTAATTATTTATATAGCATAAATAGACTTACTTGTGGTACACACAAAATAGAACTGAGCCTTTGCCATGTGTTTAGTATTTGTGCATGGAAAAATTATCTGACATTATTCTATACGTATTTTAGTCAATTAAGCTACGTTGGATGTCCACTCTACATGTAGAGATTGCCCAACTGTGAACTAAGAATTTATTTGTGTTATTTTGTCTGCAAAATTGCAAATATCTTGTGTTTATGTAGCTTATTAGTTGTTTCTACTAAGCTAGATAACAGCGTAATAGCATTGGAGGTTTCTATTATGAAACACAAATGAGAATTTTGTTCCCATTTCATACAGTCACAGATCCTATACCGTGTTTCTACTGTAGATCTGGTTTGCGACTATGGAGGCATCAGCAGGAGACAAGCATGTCATCAGGTGCCACTAAAGGCCGTTGGATGCCAGTAGAGATTTCTAAACTAAAATTATTAATTTTCCAATCCAACTACAGTTACTATGATTGAAGTTCCTTAATATTGTAGGCTAAAAGCACATTTTTTGTACCATCTTAAGTGATTAACTATCTCCCTGATGACTTTCACTGGGGTTTATTTATACTCCGGAGCCAAAGCCTCTAGGTGCACCCTCAGTTTCTACCTATTGTCAAATTTGTTGGACGCATTAGAAAATTTCTGGACACTGGACTATGCAACTGGTGATAAATGGAAATACAAAAAAAGAAATTCATCCCAATAGGTTTACTACAAATAATTCAGTTAAGAATATATAATGGACATTTGCAGGACATGAATTCCCATCCAATGATTCATGCCCACACCTTTCCAAAGATGCAACTATTTTATTGCATCTAAACTTGCTGGCTGAATGCCAGAACACAAACTTTCGGCCCCTGTCATTTCAGGTAAGAACCCAGTAGCAATGATCTGAAAATAAATACTTCTAGATTTGCTAGAAGGTTTATATTGAATTTCATATGAATTGCATCATTAATAGAATTTTTTGGGGCCGATTGAGACAACACTAACCTAGGAAGTCCAGCATGCCCCTGTGAAATTTTGGTTTTCAAGACACCCGAAAATAACTTTTGAAGTGATTTGAGTGATCAATAATTTCTTTTTCTTTCTTTTTTAAACTCCGCCTCCCCCCTCCCCCAAATCTGCCCC